GACAGGATCATGATCACGCATATACAATCTCTAACATCAGACCGCAGCCCTGCAGAGCTGAGAAACACAAGTCGAGCTGTTATTGACGTTATTACACCGCAGCTCAGTCATCAGGCAGGATGGACAGGTGGAACATCGCTCAGATAGAGAGGGCTGCTTCCAGCTCATAGAGCGGGCGCAGAATAATGTGAGGCTGATATTTATTAGACTCAATATGCAGCACAATCCTAACGATGTAATTTCATAGATGAATCAGTAGCTTATGATTAGCTTAAAAACCCAACTCATAACATGGATAAGTAGGAAGTTCCCACCATGAAATCCAGCATTTAGTGTTCCAGTGTCTGCTTAAGCCAGCCGACTAATGAAAACAGCAAAACCACAAGTTTGGAGTACGGATAATTAACTGCTAAACCAAAGTGTTGGAGACAAACTTAAAATATTCCTACCAAGGTTTTCCCATCAAGCAAGAAACAATTGAGTGGGACATCTCTGTTGGTGTGTCATGACAAGAATCTTTTCCCCTCTCCCAAGAACATATGCAAGCAATTTGTATAACAAATGTTGGTTTTAGTCTGTGTTCCTTGCATACTAGTGGCTTCTCAAAAACCTGGAGGGCTTCATTCGTTAGTGCTTAAAAGCAAAGCAAACAAATTAATTAACACTATCTTCACATGGGGTGGCCAAAGTAAACAGGCGCTGAAATGTTACACCATTACCTAAATTCACATGCATCTGTATATGTCTTCCCCCCCCTGCGTACCCTCCCACCCCTGCCCCAGCGCACACGGTGCCCTTGAACAAGGCCGAAGGACCACCTGCGTGAAAGAGGAGACCCTCTCTGTTATGTCTCTGCTCGGGAATGAAATAACACGGAATCCAGCTCTGCAAATAACTCACAGTGAAGATCATTTTCCACATGCTGCTTGACAAAAGGTAAAATAAGAACAGATGATGTCCTCTCTCCTCTCTCTCTCTCTGGGAGTTTGCTGCTCCACTCAATAACCCTTGTACTCGGTTGTGCTGCTTTGCTGGCCCGGGTACGCAGGGTCCTGACCCCTTTAGTCGCCTTGTTAACCGGGCAGTATGAGATACGAGGTCTCATTCCTCACAGCCGCTGACATTGAGTCAGCCGTTTTTCATGCCCTCACTGGGGTGAGGTTAAGAGAGGTTCGAGGAACTTGATCCCAGATCAGATGATTATGTGTGAGGCATCGGGAGCAGCAGGAGGCCTTCTTCGAAACTGGGCATCCATCACAGGAGAGGGAGGCTGCTCCAGTAGAGGGGGGGGGGAGAGGCACTGTTTCAGGACTTTCACATTCTTTACATGCAAGGCAGGGCCGTCCCTGGCCAATTTGAGGCCCCACGCAAAGTTATATGATGAGACCCTCTGTTTCGCGAACCGCGAGCGTCAACGGGGGGGGGGGGGGGGGGGGCTAGTGGAGCCTCGCAGCGGCGAAACCGTGCCGCGCCACACTAATTGCGCCGCATAAGCTCAGTTGAGGCTCCCTCCGCAAGATGAGGCCCCCTCCGCAAGATGAGGCCCCCTCCGCAAGGTGAGGCCCCACGCAGTCTGCGTGATCTTCCTGTAGGGAGGGACGGCCCTGATGCAAGGAATGACATTTTTTGAGCATATTGTTGAGGAATTTGCCCAAATAAAATGCAGCATCAGAGAAGGAAATTGCTTGATATTTGGGGAAATGTGTTTAGAGATGCTTGTAGGAGGATTTTGTTACCTTTGGACTTTTTCTCCCTGTTTACAGTCTTAATGTTAAGCTAAGCTAACCAGCTGCTGGCTGTTGTTTTGTATAACCGTACAGAAATTAGAGTGGTATTCATTTTCTCATGTACCTCTCGCCATGAAAGCATATTTCCCAAAAAACTGTTTCTTTAACTTTAACAATGACACTGCGAGATAGAGACAAGCACCTCAAGCGAGCTCCTTAATCGAATCAAACGCACCTCAGTCTGCACAACATACCGACCTTTGCTCACCCCTCTGAAGAGGACACATATGAAGTTTGTCTAATCAAATAAACAGGTGAGGCACTTATTAGCCTCCAATTCCCACTGCAAGTGTAACTTCATTTTCAATTTCTCCTCTCTGGCTGTGACTCATGGGAGAGCAACTTCAAAGCTGCAGCCATGCACTTGAGGTCATTATCTTCATTTCTATATTCTCTGCAGGTTCTCAGCATATGGGAACATTTTAACGTTGGACTTTTTTCTGTGTCTGCAGCCATAAATCTGCCATGTCAACTATAAAATATAGCTGACCAGTAACAGATGTAGCTCTAATAGCTACCAAAAAAAGGAATGAAATCAAAATGTACCACCTCTAGATTTTGATTCTAAAGTTTAATAGCGTGTAAGATTGATTTCAGTTTTGTACACAAGAGATGGACAGTGAGCGAAAGTCGCCCAAGTTGAGGATAAGAAAAGGGAGTTCTTTTTTATTTTCTATTTCTCTGTTTTGCTCAATCTTTTCCTTTCTTTCTCCCCTTCTCTTTTCTTTCTCTCTTTCCACCCTTTAGCTGAGACGAATCCTCCTTTCATCCTCTTCTGCAGCGAGGGCCCTGGTGTCTGCTCACACAAAGCCTGACCATCCCTGACTCCTTGTCAACCCCTTGCCCAATTCATCAAGCAGAGGCCCATGGGCATTCATCACCCCCACCACCTTTCATATCCCGCACCAGCTGAAAGCCACTGTCCCTCCTCTGACTTCAATGCAGCCATGACACACCCCTAAGATTTATAGTGGCATAATTAGTAGCAGTGAAAAAGGCCTGCGTGCTTTGGAGGGTCAATCATACTGTATCCCACTCAGAGGAGCTCCCAAAGAAAGTCACATCTGTTTCCAAATAGATTTCACAGCCACCACAAAAGTTGATGAATTAGCCAAATAACAAGAAGCCGGGAAATGTATCAAAGGCTAACAGTGACATCAAAACAATCAAACATACTTTGGGTAATTCTAACATGCTATTTGTCACCATTCATGGGAGCGGGACGCTGTCATATCTCCCCTTTCTCTCCAGGGAAGCTGCTGCTGCTTGTGATGAGCAGCTCTACGGAGAGAACTCCCCCTGAAGACGGGGTTTTCCAAAAACAGCTTGAAGGAGGTCTAAAATAACATGCCTAATAGTTAAACGGTGTTATTGATGTAATCATGCCCTGCCCTCCCACCCGTCCTGCTGTCACTGATATCTCAAGAACAGTGAACTAATTAAAACACTCCTGGAGTTTGTTTTCATTTCAATCCTCACACAGAAAGAAAGTCTTCTCTAAACAGCTGCCTCTCTCTTTTTTTCCCTGCGAAGACACAAGTTTGGACCCGTTGCCCCACTGTGCAGAGAAGAGATGCAAAATCCCCATTCAATCATAAATCACACCTATTATCCATTATTCCTGTTGTGGCTTTCTCTGTGTTCCCTTTCATGTGCATGGTTGCACAGTTCACTTTACACCTGAAACAAATTAAATAACTTGTGGTCTAGCTCACATATGATGTGAAGTAAGTACATTTATTTAATAGTGTTGTTAAGTACAGCTTTTGCCATATGAAAAATATGAACATAACAGATCAATGTTTATGTAGATAACACAATAAAGCTAAAGTGTAACTTGTTATTTGAGTATTCACATGTAAGGGTATTTTATTTTTATTATAGCAACAGTAACTATACTTTTCAGATTATGTTTTTACATCATTTTTTATGACACACTCTTTTATATATTTATTAGGTAAATTGTTGATTGTTGAATTGAATATTTTCTTTTTATTCCTACTTTTACAAAGTAAGTACATTATGTGAATGTTTCCCAAACCACAACTGTTAAATCAGGGAGGACATTTGTTGTAAAGTAGTTAAATGTATACCGGTATATGTTTACTTTCTGTGTGTGGTTCTTCCGCTATACTGTTTCATCTAGTAACATAATTAGTAAGCAGCAACACTTTTGTGGAGAAGCAGTACTTATTTGAAACTTTTTTTCTTCTTTAAATTACATCTTAAAGATGACTCCAGAAGTGCATACAGTCTCTGCTGCAGTCAGATTTGATACTACACGTCATCAGCTTTTGGATTTTCCTTTTTTTCCCTTGCTTGCCAGTAGTACAAGTGGTTTAGCTGCTGGTTTGCTGGAGCACATTGCAAACGTTGAGCAGAGGGGCGAGGAAGCACCTGCTTCCAACGAGGAGGTGGAGAAAATGCTCTCATGAAAACGTCCAGTGGTTGGCACTGACACTTCTGCAGGAGGTTAGATGGCTCTGAGATTAAACTCAGGTTATTTTGATAATCTTCTGGGCGCGAAGCCTTCGCCTGATACTTTGTGGTTTTCCTTTTTTTTTTCTCCAGGAGAGCCTATGGTGTGACCAAAAAGCAGTCACAGTAAATTATGGATTGCCTTTGTGGTGGAGTGGTTGTTGCAGTTTATGATAAATGTAGATGTTCGGCTTTGTGTCAGCTACCAGTTGTGTTCGAACAATGATGATCTTCGCTACTGCCTCTGTGTCGCATCCAAACAAAAATAAAAGTGTTGCCTGCGCCAGGATGGGCGATATGGTTTTATCAGACAGCCTCGGACCGCGTTCAGGAGCGCAGCAGGAGCTATGAGGAGACACTGCTGGACTCGGATTTGCTTGGTCGGAAGATAGTTAGATCTTTGTGAGAGCGCAGTGAAAAACGCGTAAAGACAGCGGCACCATCAGTGGTAAAAGTTGGACTGAAAGTTCACATTCAGTGAGGAAACTGATGCGCGTAAGAAGGGATGCCAGCCAGGCGTGGCTTGTGTTTGAATATCCAATGTGAGAATGCGTGGGGAGTATGTATATAATAGAGTCTTTCCATCTGATAAACAGAGATATCAAACTGATGATTATAGCAAAGGACGATCAATAAGCTGAAAGGACGCTGCTGGTTTTGGAGTCGCACGGCGCGCTGGGTACGCTTTGGACTTGTGTAAACTTTACTCTCTCCTTGAGGCACCGAACATTTTAAATGCCTTCGCTTAATTTGACAGCTGTGCACACAATGGCAGAGGTCGGGAGTTTTCTGGGGACAATCGACTTGGATTTACAAACCTTTCCTGGACTCGGGACTATGCCCGTACCGGAGCCTCCAGCGGGCTTGAATGAGAGGCTGGGGCAGATTGAAGGGAGGATGCAGCGGGGGTCGACGACGGATTTCGGGCACCTGAAGGGGATCTTGAGGCGACGGCAGCTCTACTGCAGGACCGGCTTCCAGCTGGAGATATTCCCCAATGGGACTGTGCATGGGACAAGACAGGACCACAGCAGATTTGGTGAGGATACTTTTCACTTTTTGTTACAATATTCGTTATATTGAAGATGTTGTCATATTATATTGATGTCTCAACTGACATAAATTGTTTATTTTGTCATCAACCATCAATTTATTATAGCCAAACAATAATTGTGAAGGAGGTGTAAATTAAAAGGTGTGAATATGGCCTCGGGTAATCTCAAGGAAAGCAATTATCAATAGCTTATTACAAAATGTAATTACAATTGTGCCATGTAATATATCATGTTCCCTCACTTAAGATAATTTGCCCTGCTGTCACTCCGAAACTGGGTGAAGTGAGTTTAATTAGGAGCCTTTTTTTTCCTGCCGCGCTCCCCAGTGAATGCTCGTGCGTCACAGTCACCTGGCCACACACCTTTGCGCGTGGGGGGCAGGTGTCTCCTCAGCCGCGCAAACAAGCAGCGCGTGCGCGAGTCACCCTAACAGCAACAGTGAGCGCGCGCACCGGCTCTGAAGATTTGGTATCATTAATGTAAATGGAGCGAGGTGCGGCTCGCGGGAGAATGATAAACAAGTGAGGTCAGATACGCACATGTCTCGCGCCTCATATCCATGCAGTCATCTCTCGCAGGTGCAGGCCGGCTCGCTCGCTGCGGGGAAAAAAAGCGGAATAACCCTAAATTAAAGCATGACCACTGCGGAATTCAGGGAAGTTTAATGTTCAGACTTGAGCCAAAACAAGCCGGTGTACAGGGATGGGTGGTCCGCGTGTTTGTTTCTGGCTTCACTTAGATTTAAAATGCAAGGTCTTTGTCAGAGCTGCATGGAAGACGTGGCTTTGATTAAAGGGATATGAAACACACTGTTCACCCCACAAAAAAATTAGAGGGATCTTCTCTGTCATTCTCTGGCATCAGATGAGGTCGGGGAGATGGGGACCAGGTGGCTGTAAGCCGGCCTCTGCCAGTCAGCTCAGCCAGCTGGATCCTCTCTGACTAACCTCTGCATCACAACAGCCAATAGCTTTTAATTTTACCACTTGTTTTCCTGCCTTTGAAGTACATGTTCACTTTACTGTAACCTTCAGTGACTCAGGAGCCCACTAAATAACAAACCCACATCTCAGCTTCTCCGTCTGTATTGGTAGCCACTGGGAAATCCCAAAAGACAGGATGCACACTTTTATAGACACCACAACCTTTTAATGTAGTGAGTGATCTATGTGCCTCAGACCAGGAAGCTAGAAAATCTAAGAAATCTTTATCTGGTGCATCCGCTCCGTACATGTGTCCTTTCAGCTGTAATCAATGTCAACATAAATTATGTAGTGGCAATACAATTGCATTTATTTTCCAATTGTGGAAGGGAGATGCAAGCATGTTTATTTTTCTTTGAACCTATTGGAACAAAAAGCCACATTTCAGGACAAAATGTGACAATAAAGCAAAAGTAAAGCTTCCAAAATCAGTTCTCTGATGCATATTTTGACTGGTGTGATGTCACATAACTGGAGGCCACTTGTTGCTGGGGAGGGTCTTCTGTTCGTGGGCTTTCTTGACTGTTTTGTGCATTGTGTGTGCTCTGTTTGACCTCAGGTATCCTGGAGTTCATCAGTCTGGCAGTTGGTCTGGTCAGCATCAGAGGGGTGGACGCTGGACTCTACCTCGGCATGAATGAGAAAGGAGAGCTCTTTGGGTCGGTGAGTCAAAAGAAAACCCTTCTCCGTTCATTTACAACCCCGCCCTCACTGTGCAGCCCGGGGTCTCATTCACAACAAGACTGCCACTCGACAAACGTGACTTGTTTAACAGAATGCACTTGTTCACAGCGTCTCGTAGAGAGTTAGACTTTTTCTTTTACAATATACGTCAGTAGGGAGCTATCAAAAATATGTTTTCAGGAGAAATCTGAGAGTTGGTTTGTTATCAAGGTTCCCTGTACGATGGGAACACTTCAGTGAGACAAAACAAGCCTGTTTCTTTTACAGGGTCTCACACTCTGTCACACACTTCCCTCTCCTTTTTCTTCACAATAGGGACAGATACATTCATAAAGGAATTAGATCCAAAGTTGAACTGGAACACTAGCAAAGAAAAGAAAAACAGAAATGTATTATTCTTGTATTTCATGTGAAGTCTTTGAAGGAATTGCAGATAGTGCAGCTTTTGAGAGCAAATCTACCTCTTCCTTTAGTTTTGAGATGTGCAGAAATATTTACATATTTTCCCAGAGTGGAGACAGGAGTGTTTGGAGTCTCTTTGGATGTGTGCTGTGGGTGCATTTGCTGGAGATTACCTCTTTGTGCACAGCTGGACTCAAGTTTTGTCTGCAGTGTTCAGCATTAAAGACATCTCTTGTGCTTTGCTACAGTAAATGTAGCATCAAAAGGATATTTATTTAATCCTGGCAATCTTTTTCTCGTATGCAGTTGGTATCTGGAGACAGAAAGAGAGAAGAGATAAAGACAATGAAGGGGAAGTATGTGAGGGTTACCTGTATCAGGTGTCCCAGGGCATTACCTGGGGGCCCCTCAGGGCTCAGACTCCCCCCGGGCTCTGAGCATTTTGAACAGAGGCTACTTTTAAGCACGGCCATTATGTTGAAAGTGCAGATATTGTTACTGCGTGCTATCAGAGTCTGGCATCCTGGAGCCTTGACCCTGGGGTAAGGGGGGGGGGGGGGGGGGGGGGGGGGGGTGATGGTGGAAGGCGGTGATTTGAGGGGGGGTAATTGCACACCTGACTGAGTCACCTGACTGACAGAGGGATGTAGACACGTCTGTCTGTAGCTGAGAGGCCAGGAGGTGGAGGGGGGTGGGGGACAGGTAAAAGGGTGCTTCCTCCCCACAACAGCCAGACCTCGGCGAGCTTTTGATCTGATGAGGCGTGTGTGCGTGTGTGCGTGTGTGTGTGTGTGTGTGTGTGTGTGTGTGTGTGTGTGTGTGTGTGTGTGTGTGTGTGTGTGTGTGTGTGTGTGTGTGTGTGTGTGTGTGTGTGTGAGAGAGAGAGAGAGAAAGAGAGGTTGGAGCTGGCCCAGTCATGTGCCCTCAGGGCTGTATTTACAGACAACAGTTTCACCACATAGCCGCAGCCAAGCAGAGCCTGACAGCCAATCAACAAAATTGCTGCTGGAATAAATACTTGCACAAACACTTGTTAGAACCGTACTGTGTGTTCAAAGAAGGGACTGGCCGTGTACAGAAACCACATGAAAGTTGTATTCAATTGGAAAAAAGGGGTGGGATAGTGACACCTTTAAAAAAGTGGTTCTCATTTTGCCCCCGATGATACCCCAAATTCAGCTGAGGTTGGACCCTCTTGCTGCATGACTGAATTGTCTTGGCAGGAGAGCAGCTCCAGCCCTGATGTCTCTTATTGTTCTCACACACTCACTCAGCCAGCACACTCTCACCTGCTGAACCCACAGCCATCGCTCATGCTGCGCTGTCAGTGAAGACAGAGGCTGTGAGAGCTGCTGTGTGTGTGTGTGTGTGTGTGTGTGTGTGTGTGTGTGTGTGTGCGTGCGTGCGTGCGTGTGTGCGTGCGTGCGTGCATGCGTGCGTGTGTGTGTGCGTGCGTGCGTGCGTGCGTGCGTGCGTGTGTGTGTGACAACATGAGAGAGCGAGGGAAGATTGTTGCATCACGGGGAGGGAAATAATTCCCCATGCACAAGGAGAGGTTAACAGGTCCGAGGAATAAGCGTGGGGCGTAAAGTGGAAAGCAGCTCGTAATGACTTCCCCTCTTTTGTCATAATAAGCACCTGCCTTAATGAGTTTCTATCGGTTCATTTCAGCTTTCAAGTGCGCTCCTGAATAGGTTAATGAAATACATAAACTAGCACACTAGGAGGTGTGGGATTTGATTGCCAAGTGGCATCATCCATTTCAATCTCAGCTGCATTTTCTTCTGTTTAATCATGATTCTGTATGCATGCCTTTAGCACGTGACTAATGATTGTTTCTGTCCCCCAGCAGAAGCTGACAGCGGAATGCGTGTTCAGGGAGCAGTTTGAGGAGAACTGGTACAACACCTACGCTTCGACGCTGTACAAGCACGCGGAGACGGGACGCTTGTACTACGTGGGCTTAAACAAAGACGGCTCGCCCCGGGAGGGCAACAGGACTAAAAAACACCAGAAACTCACCCACTTCTTACCCAGGCCGGTGGAGATTGAGAAGATCCCTCAGGCGTACAGGGACTTATTCCAGGACAGGTGACCAGTGCTTACGCTTGGAGAACTGCTTTCAGAAAGAGAGGAGCAGAGAGGGGGTGTTGTGGATATTTTGGACCTGGTACAGAACTGTTTACCCTCAGCTCCCCCTGAGGTCACTGTGTTTGCGCCTCGGCCCACCGCCAAGCACTGACATAAACATTGAATGTCGGCGGGACATGTTATCTTGTAAAACCACTGCATGGATGGAGGAGGCCCACATGACTGCTCAGCTGTGGGGGGATCAAATCAGGTGCCATGTTTTCTCAATAACCACTTTGAAGAGGTAAAGGCATAGATACTGAAGGGAATGGTTTTGGCACTAAGATGGTGGGGGGGGGGGATGAATGGTGGGCTATGAGAACACCATCAGAGACTTTTAGGAGTTCAACGTGACGGGAAGCACCGCAGATGTAACTATGTGCATTTGTCATGCACTATATAGAGTTAAGGAAGGAAAAGGGCACATTCCACATACACAGGGATGGATATAAGAAGAAACTGTAAAGTGACAGGGTGGGATGGTCAGGTACTAAAGAAGAAGAATGTCTGTGAGGCAGAGAGCAAACTGTTACAAGACAAACTGGACTTTTATTAAGTTGACTTTAAAATCAAAGATAAGAAAAAGGGGAATGATTGAATTCATTGAAGATGAATGCGTGATAGATGAAGAGCACTTACTGCACATCCCCTCCTCGATCTGTAGGCTCACTGGTAGTCAGAGTCTAATGATCTCTTTTACCACATTTTAAATATCAAATGGCGTCTTGTAGCATTTCTATGCCATACAGGCTATCAAGAGTCGGGGCAAAAGCACTTCTCTGACTGTGGTTGTAAAGAATTGTGAGGGGATTTTTTAAAAGGATGGTGACTTGTAATGTTCATAGTGTCCGGAACATTACTAAAAATGCAAGCAGCAGAGGTGTACATATGGGTGATCCTATTTATGAGATGTACAATATATTTATTTTCTACATATAAAGTATAAATATATATATTTATTTATTGCAAAGACTTTATTTTGTAATGAACTCGGACTGTAGATTCTACTGAAATTACACATAAAAAACTGCAATGAACATGACAATAAAATTGTCCTGCTAGAACTCATTGTGAGAGACTATTTTTGCTTGGATAAAAATCTGATGTACCAATTAAAACCAGATATAGAATCGATGTGAATGTTGCATTTCTTTACTTTTGTTTTCAGCCATGCTAGCAGAATGATAATGTAGGCCAGCTGGACTTCGGTCCAGACTGAAATATCTCGACAACTGTTGGATGGATTGCCATAAAACATTCTACGAACATTCCCGGAGGACGAATTTAAATGACTTTGTGATCCCCTGCCTTTCCTCCAACACCACCACGAGCAACACACTGATGTGTTTTACCTGATAATGAACAAACCCATCTTAACATTACAAATATATTTTCTTTGTTCAGTCTAGAAGGTTAATGTTTTGCAGAAATGTAGATAAGTAAATCATTATTTGGTTGCTTTTTGTTAAAATACCTCAAATGTAATGTTTTCATAGCACCAGTTGCATGACATTGTGTCCTGCTGTCCCAAAGATGGAGGTAAAAAGATACAGCAGATTTCTTTCCCAGAGGAGAACATGATACAATCCCATGCCAATTTGCCCTCATAAACCCTTTACCAAGTAATGTGCACAGGCCCTCTCTGTCTCCATAAGGACTTAGTCCGCCTACATCCACCGTACAAAATCAGATTCCTTATGCAACTGGATCCTGGCTCCTAATTGGCTTTACACATCAGCATGGATTTAGAGCAGTGATTGGTTGTCCATTGCGGGGGCCTCACAGACCATAGTGTAGTCTGCAGCCTGCTCAACAGACAGAAACAGCTGCCTGCTGCTCACACAACCAGCAGGGATGTGCTGCAAACCTGGAGTGGTGGTAATCTGGGGCTGTGAGGGGATGGGATCAACATTTCAACATCTGCAATAGTTGTAATGTTTCTCCACTGGCAGATATCTGTAAGCTGTGAGAGCAAGCTCCCCTTAGGGGGAGGGAATGGAAAAGTCAAAGACATGCAGGGGAAAACCCTGGCAGACTGAGAAATGAAAACAATACCGGGAGAGGGAAAAATAGATGAAAGATTGAAGGGAGAAGAGAGGGGGACAAAAGGCACTTAGTGCAGTGGGTGTGAAATACAGGGACACTGCATTAGGATGTATCAGCTATCTGCCTTCCAACTGCTAGAGAGCTCTGTATTTAGGGAAGTGGAGGGACTTCGCTTAGCTTCAGTTTAGCAAAAAGACTGGAATCCAGCAGAAAAGGCTCACCTGGCTTTGTTAGGTTAAATACATCTGTCCATCTTATGTAGTCCCCTAAAAATGACTGAAATTTATCTTTTACCTTTCAAATTACCTGCCAATTAGACATCTTGGTTACAGTTCTTTAACACCTACATTTATGGGCCGCATATGAATAAGTTATTTTTTCTGGGTCCCATGAAAACCATGACATTCTATCATCGCCCGTTACCTTTAGACACACATCTGGCTTCCTCAGCTGCTTATCTTCATCTGTTAATGTCTAATAAGAGGAAAATGTGTCATCAGATCTATTTTAGATCCTCAAATAAATATTGATATAAACCTTAGAAAAAAAAGAAAAGAAGAAACACCACCAGTTCGGCTTCAGGTATGAAAACTCTTACCTGCATTCCCCTAAATGAATTCAGTGAAGTGTGGAAATCATTGGTCAGTCTATAAGTCCTTTAACAGAAATGACTCAAACACAGGAGCTGCTCATCATTTTGGTCACTTTATTAAATGTTATATTAAATACTTATCAAGATAATAGCAGATCAGATTCATGGCAAATCATGTTGGTGTATTTGCTAACATAAGAACATTCTTAGAGGAGGGCAAAAAAGTTTCTCTACATTTATGAAATACACCTTGTGCAAACACAGGATCTGACTAGAGACAACATGTCTTTGAGAGAAATATATTCCTCTTGATTAACAGCTACACCAGTTTAAGCATTTCGAAGCAAAAATGTGCCAAAGTAATATACATTTTGGGCACCTGAGGGCCTGCCTGGTGAGACTTAGAGTCCAGAAGGCAACTCTCACAAAGCAGAGAAAACACATCAGCCAGATCTGTATTAACATTTCCTTCTTTACTTTATCAAATGCATGTGAAACACAGAATTAAAACTTTGACAGACAAGTAAGGGGAAACATTTTGGGCCCACTGATGTCTGGCTGACGTGGCTGTGCTTTGTGAGACCCAGTCACTCACCCGAACAAGTGGAACATAAACAATGAACAGGACGCACAGTGCTATGCTAGACAACACGTGACGATGAGCAAGATGTTACAAAAAGGTCATATGAACCGGCAGGCAGTTTTTAACAACACAAGCATTCCATTACCATGTTCAGCAACAACTAATGTAAACACTTAAAAGCATAATAGAAAAGATCCTCAACAAATCTCAAATCTTTACAGAGCTTTTTTTTTAAATTTTTCTAGGAAATTAATAAGGCCATCATCTTTTTTTCGGTTTTAGTCAATTTCTTGTCTCCCAAAAAAAAGCAGGACTTGGCAGCACCACTTCATATTGGTGAAGGAATCTACCGAGGCTAATAATCCTGTAGAGCTTTACATCATAGAGTCACCAACGGCAATGGTCCCACTCAGGTTTAGTTTAATTTAAAACAGTATAAAAAAAACTGAGTTTGAATAATAAGGAACCCTATTTTTTAGAGAAAAAAAACATAACGCTTAAAAGCATTGGGGGTAAAATGAGTTTGTCATTAAATACATGAAAGAAATGAAGATATAGAACTTGAATAACATTAAGGCTGTATATACATTTTTTCCTGCTGAAATTCCTCAGACCCATTTCACACAGTCATTTATAAATTATATTCCACCATGTCTCAGTGAACTACAGAATAAAGAACTGAGTGGGTCCCACCCAGTGGACAGCAGCCTCAAACTCCCCCGCCCTCCGCCTGCTGCACCGACTGCTCTGAGCTTGTGGCGATGTCACGGTGATGTCACGGTGTGTAACAGGGACCCGGGACCCGCTCCGACGGGCCCCCTGGGAGCCGGCTAGCTGAGATGGGCGGTGAGGAGCCGTCCCTCTGACCTACAGGCCCTTGGAGGGACCCGGGTTCTTGCCCATGCCCCCCAGGCCGTGGAGCTGCTGGTAGAGACCCACCAGGTCCATCTGGCTGAGCCCAGCACCTCCCATCATGCCGTTCTGCATGGCCAGCTGCTGCAGGTAGTTGGCCTGGTTCTGCATGACCTGCTGCTGCTGCTGCTCCTGCACCTTCCTGTTGGTGATCAGCTTCTGAACGTACATCATCAGCTGCGAGGAGACAGGGAAAATAAGAGTGTCAAGAACAAGAGCTATCATGTCAAACGTACAAGGGAAGATTAGAGTCATAAGAATATGTAAGAAGAGCAATTTACTCCATTTCCCATTTCCTTTAAAGTCTGACCTGCAGATTCTTGCTGATTTTGTTTCTTTTAAAGAGCTATGATGGACAGCATACACAATTACATGTGTCTATTTGGGAATCAGTCGTTGGCAGACGCTGCAGTCCTGCCTTTCAACTTCTGAAGGTTAAAGTATTTAGTTTTGCAAACAGACATTATCAAAATGTAGGTTATTTGCCCTTTCTTAGTGTAAAGGACTCCATTACATTAGGTTTAACAACGTTATGAACTTATTAAACTGTTCTTAAGGAATGAATGAACAAATTAATCCATAACATTAACTAGTAAGTGTCCTTTAAGCACCATTGTTTAAATATAATGTACAACTTCATTTTGTCAATATGTTTGGACAATTCTTCCGTTTACTTGTCATGATAAACAGCCTGCTATTAAAGAGCTGAAAGCAGCTTGTCTCCGAGTCCTCAGAGCGGTCCTTACCGTCTGCTGCCTGGTCAGGACGTCCCGGTACACGGCCTCTCTGTGTTTAAACTCCAGCTCCACGGTGGACTGCCGGCCCAGAGCCATGGACTGCACCTGAGCTTCATTGAGGGAGGGGTTCTCCTTCCACTGGGGGCAGAGGGGACGGCTCACATGTTAACAAACACCATCACAACCACATCATTCCTCCACTTCCATCATGTTTCAGACCAGAAACAGAAATGTGCCTTCTCAAGACAAATAAAGAATCATTTCATCACACTCACCACTCTGCCGATGATGTCTTCCAGCGGCTCCCGTGTTATAGACTTCAATGAATTTGTTGCTTCGATGACTTTCTGGCGTCCCTGGTTTATCAGGTCCTGAACACAGATGAAGAAGACAGGTGAGCCTTTTTCTCATCTTCACCATAAGCATTGGTGACATAACGGAGAAATAACTGGAGAATATTTAATAGCGGACGACCAATTTTCAGCCTGGCTGATTATGGTCTGCAATATACAGCAGTCTTATAATACTTATATTTGTCTGTATCCAATTACTCAAACAAGATATATTTACAGACCAACTTGTGATAGGAAGACACATATTCTCTTAGCTTTGATGCCTCGTTATGTCTTTAGTTAACTCTCGCCACGCCAGCAGCACTATCTGAACGGTTACAAGTCTTCAGTAATAGCCGAACTGAAGTACAGTGTGTATTTGATAAAGTAGCCGTAGTCTTGTCTATCATAATATTTAATACTGACGTTGCTCCTTCAGGTGCAGCTTCAGTTCTCAGAGTACAAACTTAACACACATTAAAACATGGGGGCAGTTGGTCAATTATTTAAGAACTAGATGTAACCAATTATTTGGATATTTAACATCAGAAAAAACACAACATCCTTTTTAAAATTGTTATGACTTTTGAGTGATTAAAAGACAATTCATTTGAATATCTTCTTATTCGATTACTGAACTCAATGCCTTTTATGACTCTTTAAATGATCCGTGGGAGGATTTCTCACATGCCTTGATTACAAGAATTAAATCCACAGTATTTCTACATTGATTCGAAGTTGTGATTCAAAAACACAAGTTGCC